TGTGTGTCTGTGTCTGTGTGTGTGTCTGTGTCTGTGTGTGTGTCTGTGTGTGTGTCTGTGTCTGTGTGTGTGTCTGTGTGTGTGTGTGCCTACGCCTTCTCCTCTGTCTTCAGCCTTTAGCGATACTTGCTCGCTGTCCTGTACGTTCAGGCTTACAGCTCATGAGCACACATTCCTTTCCTGTCCCATAAACATATTCTATGAAAGTTCTAAACGTGAGTCTCACTGACCTGGCTTATGTCATAGGCTTGCCCAGAGCCCTTCCCTGAAGCTGGAGGGATGGAGTGTGACTGCTGGCCAGATCTGAATCACACGCCCACCCTGGAGCTGGGGTTGAGAGTCTGCTCCATCCACACTATCTAGGCTAATTGGGGAGGGCTGCATCAATTTTCTGCATCAATTCAGAGAAAAATTGAACAACCGTCACTAGAAAGAGGAATTTCTGGATGTGTGTATATATGTATATATATATGAAATGGAAGAGTACTGTGGTATTGTCATAGCTCACTGCAACATCAGACTCCCTGGCTCAAGTGATTCTCTTGCCTCAGCCTCCCAAGTAGCTGAGACCACAGGCGCTGGCCACAATGTCCAGCTATTTTTAGAGACAGGGTCTTTCTCTTGCTCAGGCTGGTCTCTAACTCCTGAGCTCAGGTGATCCATCCACCTCAGACTCCCAGAGTGCTAGAATTACAGATGTGAACCACCATGCCCAGCCCCTACATTTCTGATTGTAAAAGTAAAGATGCTTATTGTAGAAAATTTAGAAATTACAAAAAATATATAAAGAAATAAAAAATCACCCGTCGTGTAATCAGGCAAAAGTTTTAGTATGTTCTTTCAAATTCTTTTTCTCTGCTTATAGGTGAAAGTTTTTTTTTTACTTTACATAGTTAAAAATCTATCCTATCTTGGGTGGCACCTGTGGCTCAAAGGAGTAGGGCGCTAGCCCCATATACGGGAGGTGGTGGGTTCAAGCCCGGCCCTGGCCAAAAACTGCAAAAAAAAAAAAA